CCCCGCCCCGAGATGCATAATGTCATCAGGCTCTGTGTTAACAAACTGCAGAATAAAAGCACCACGACTTCTAATCTGGTGCTGATTAGCTCCAGATAGTATTTAGGGGAACTAAATAATTTCCTACATCTGTTTTCTTCCCACTGGCTGAACTAAAAGCATCAGCGACTCCATTGTGTCCGTGCAGGGTCCTGATGCCTGTAGATCCCTGCCGAGAAGGGTTTTGTTGTCTGTTCCTTGCACTGTTAGTTTGCCTCTCGAACTAATGGGCCAGACAAAAACCCCTCAGGATGCAGTTCAGGTCGGGAGTTGCTGACAAGATGATGTCCTGTGTTGAATCACTACATGGTTTCTACTTCAAAAAATAGCAAAATAGTCTTTTGAGTCGTCTGTTACGTGTGTGTCCCCAGCAGTGGAGAGCTGTCTGAACACCGTGGAGTGAGCAGAGCACAGAGAAAGCTTAATGGACAGTTGCTTGGGTGAAGTGTGCTTTGTACAAGCCCTAACTAAATTCCAGCTGATAGGTCACCTGTGCAGTTGTAATTGTCTTTGATTTGTTAATTCAGTTACATCTGTGCACTGGAAGGAAGTAGCATATGCAAGGATACGTAGCATATATAAGAGCGCAGAGGTTTGGTTCCCTGTGGCCTTCCAGCAGTCAGGATTCACAGACGATTGTGAATCCTGTCTGGTTTTTGTTTTCAAGGCTGACTATCAGGAAACATAAGTATTTTCTTTAAAATTGGTCCAATCGAGGTTTGAGACAAAAATAACAGATCCCTTATTAATGTTCTTTAAAGATGGATTCATTTCAAAGTGGAGATTCACCTTCATATTATTGGATTTGAATTAGCAAAATTTCCTTTTTAACATAAAGTTATAAAGCTACTTACTGATAAGTTACGATGGCTTTTCAGAAACTTCGGCATGCACAGATTAAATCAGTCTATAAATAAATTTCCGTGATGCCCCGTGCACTTTCTAAGACCTAATGAAGTCTAATCATTAAGTGAATTTAATAGTAAATAGTTACCTTTAGTATGTTTTTCAGAATTACAGAACACATTTTAATGACCATGATTTAAATTATGCACATTGACATAAAATGCTTAGGCATCTAATATTAGAGATAGTGCCAAAGATTAAAGGAAGATAATTCCATGTTTTAAGGAAGATAATTCCATGTTTTCACATCATTTATATTCATTTTCATTGCCTCTGGTGTTTTATCTATCAGTTTGTGTTATGAAGCACCAATAAATGCTTTTGAAGATTAAAAACGAACAAGAAAAGATGTTTGTTAGCGGTAACATGAGACTTGCTAGCAAGTTCATTACCGATTAATATAGAGCATCTAGTTTTTCAGCATGTATTTGGCAACTAGCTTGTTTTCCAGCAAGCAATCAAGAGAAAACAACATCATAAACTTGCATACTGATGATTATTTCTCATACTGCTTACTGCAGTCCTAATGCAAAGAATAAATTAATTTAATCACACTTTCTGCAATATGAATAAGTTGAACAGTTTTCACTCACTCCATCAAAGTTGAACTTGACTTATGGGAAATAGTTAACAGGAAAATTTAATGCAAGTTTGGTTTTTAAATTCATAGGTTAAACTTCAAGATAAACAAAAAACTGATAGATGTTCCATATTGAAGTATTTGAGCAAGTTCTGCCCTTGCATTCCATTAAAACATTGTGTTATTGTTTGAGAAGAATTTTGCTGTGTAGAAATTTTTTCTTTTCTGTTCTTTCCTGTCTACATCTTCCTTCCTGACTCTCAACTGTTTTATTTTTTTCCTGTGCTTTTCTGTTCAAATACATGCTTCAATGTATATGGCTCTTGCTTACAGGAAGAAGAGGTGGAGAAGTTTGGGGTAAGTGTAGAGATGAATGCAACTAAGATAAATAAAGATTACGCAACTCTTAACATACTGCATCCTCCTCGTTAGTGCATGCATCTGAAATACAGCATGCATTTTATTAACCCTGCAATACATACTTTTTGGAAGACAGGAATAAGGAGTTACAGCCAACGTTATACTGCAGCTATAAAAATTCTGAGTTGCTTTTGTGTACTAGATAAGTTGTTTGAGTTTTGGCTTTATGCATAAAGAAAACCCTGCTGTGCAGTTATATTGGAAGGCAAACTATTTTGGGAAATAAATAACTTGCTTTTTAACATGTAACAGAAAAGTTGAAGCCATTCTGCATTTTAAACTATAAGGACACTTTGAATTGTGATAATGATATAGTAATTTCCCCCCTGAAGTTTGAGTTCAAGCTTCAAAGTATTTATTTTTAGTATGTATTTGAAATGTATCTCACATTTCATACACCAAAATCCTCATTGATTTCACTGGGAGTCTTGATTGTGCAAGGACTGAATAATGGAATGACTACAAATGAGAGTACTAAGACTGGCTAGTGAAATTCCTGACTGACGCATGGCAGTGATTTTAAGATGAGATTTAAGATGAAATTAAGATGACAATTTAAGATTGTAGCCATATCTTATGTGTTCTTATGTGTCTTTTTGCCCATAAACTGTTATCTGTGTACCTAAGCCTATGTGCCTTTGCACTTTGAAACTCTGCTGCTTTGCATACTGTGGGCATCTGGTTTAAAGCCAGCTATACATTGGGTATGTCGACATTTTGCATAGAGGTTGGAGGCAGGAGTGCTCATGGTGCTTTGTTCTCCCTACAATTGCTTTGCAAGTCGCAGAGGAAGCCTGGCATGGCAACACGATTTATCAGCAAAGAGTATCCTGGCACTTCTATGCAGAGAACAGATTTACCGCCACCACCAGTGGTGGGGACGGTGCCAGGACTTGTGCTAGACAAACTGGGGAGAGCAGGTTTGGATACCGGTCCCTGTTGGGAAATCAGCAAAGTGTGGATGCCCTTGGTGCAGGAGAGCTCAGCTGGCAGCATTAGGTGGTCAATAATCAACTGCTCATGGTGCAGCTCCTGAGGAGAAAAACCTAGGACCCAACTGGAGCCACTGTAATTTCTAACCCTTGGGATTACTGTGAACACAAGTGAATAAGGAAAAACAATTTTTAAAGGAAATTCAATTAAATTGCCTTAAAAAGTCAGACTTAAAAACAGTGTGTGCATAAGCAATAAAATATTTATATAATTAAAAATAAACATAGTGTAGTTTCCCGTTTCGTTGTATAATAGATAGTAGCTTTGTTCTTATCTGTAGGAGATAGGAGTGCCCCCTTGGTTTGAATAGGTGTGAACAGTCCATCATGCCTTTTGCTGCTCTTTGCCTATAATCGCATTACTTTTTTATTTAATTAAGCTATAAATTACTGCCATTTTTTAAGCTTATATTTTCTCTTTGATCTATTTATTTAACGACTTTGAAAATATTGCAGTCAGCTGTTTCCCACTGTTTCTTATTTTTCTAAGCTCAGTGTGCTGGATTCCTTAGACTTCCTGAAACAGTATGTTTCATTCTGACTCTTTTAGCCATTATGGCTCTTCTGTGCTGGAAATTGTTTATTCTGCCACTTGTGATAGTGTAAATGCACCCAAGATCTCGATAAATGTATTTACAAATAATTCAGCCTTTTAAAATAAAGTTATTCCTCTGAATGTTTAAAAAAAAACAACAAACAAACAACTTTATTGACACTTTCCATTAGAATTTACATGTTACGTATACTGTGATCTCCATTTATTAAAAAACGGGTTAGGACTAGCGTGAATAGGAGTGACTGTCAGGGAGGGTAGCTGATGTACGTGAACCATTTGGGGATTATTTATTTTTGCTTCAGTTGCTGATAGAATTGGCGGCTCAAAATTAGGAGCATTGAGGAGCATCATCTTTCATAGATGCAAGTTTGTACAAGTCTGGGCATATATATATTATCACCGCCTTCCTGACCTTTGTTGGGATACCTTTTTTTAATGAGCTGCTCTTCTGTGAATGTGTTTACTTAATTGGAGAAAGAAGTTAAGTGCGTAATATAATGTACTTTGCATATTTAACATAATTTTTCCCCTTATTTAAACATTGTCAGAAGCTTAGTTTTCTAAGAGGATTACATTAGTCACTCACTTCTGTACTCAGCTGAATTGCAAGAAGTTTCTTTTGTAAGCCTAATGCAAACAGTGGGTACCAAATGCTTTAAATTGAACGAAGTTATCAAGTTTGTCCGCTCTTACAATCGGCAGTTAAAATAGCGTGGGTTTTGCAGAACAAGACTGCGATTCATTAGCAGAGCTAAATGGGTACTTTACGCAAGCATTGCGCCTCATTCTTGCTAGTTCCACACTTCTATATGCAATCCTTTTCTAGACTCAAATTGCTGCTATCAGTTTACAGAATATTTTAAGACAAGTGTTTTAATGCTGTTCATCTTTTTAACTCATTTGCATCAGCATGCACTAGCCCTAACTGAAGATTATTGGTATTAATCTGCTTTGGCGTGTGCTACTGTAGCTCCTCATTGCTGTGGAGAACTAAAAATTTACCGCTTTGCTCTTTTCTTTTATAGATCTCTGAGCCAGGGCAGCACAAACTCGAACATGCTGGATGTACAGGGAGGTGCTCACAAAAAACGTGCCCGACGCAGCTCACTTCTGAATGCCAAGAAGCTGTACGAGGATGCCCAGATGGCGAGAAAGGTGAAGCAGTACTTGTCCAACCTGAATGTAGAGACAGACGAAGAAAAGATCCAAATATTGTCACTGCAGTGTGAGCCTGCATATAGCACTCGTAAGTACAGTGATCCAGAACGGTGGCATGATCTATTTATAAAAATCTTGTTCCTTCCCTAGAAATACTCATTTAAGATCTTTCTCTTCTCCCTTCAAGAAAAAATACTCTAGTAAGTGCTTGTTTGTCAATTCATGTACTAACAATTTCAGCAAGCCAGCATTTATCTTCTGATCCTGGTTGAGCTCAGAAAACTTCAGTGATGTTTTCTATTTTGACCTTAGTTCTTAAACTGTGTGTCTTTTCATCAGTCTGGAAGGAAATTCAATAGTACATTAGCTCTATTCTTGCCCTGCTGTCCTTGTACAGAATTAGGAAGGATAAAAGTAATGTTTACCATATGAACAGCAAGAAAATGAAAAGAGACAAAATCAATATGGAAACTGCAATGGATTAAAGCTTAGAATAAACCAAGATTGTTGAGAAGGAGAAGTTAGGTCAATATTGACTGATGGGATTGACGTGGCTTGACAGTCAAAAATTGAGGGCTACAGCAGGACAGTTTTCATAATTTGAACTCCTGTGCAACTGTCTAACTAAACAAACTGTTATCTGACCTGCTGTCTTACACAGTTCAGTAAATTCTTATTTAAAAATGAGAAACGGTAATTGCATTTTATTTTGATCCTTAGAAATTTTCACTTGCTTGAAAGGTAGGTTTGTTTCAAAATGGAAGAGTAGCAACCTTGCTAATCAAAATAATGTTTCATGCTTGTCTGTTGTCCAAATGCAGCATTTTAAGACTTTTTTGTCCTCAAATACCGTTTTGTCTCTGAGGTAAGTTAAAGACACGACTAGGAGATGGCATCTTGAAGATGAAATTTTAAGCCCTTTCCATTATTCAGTATGAGAATGCAAATCCTTGTTATTTTGTAAGGTGCCTTCCTATGCAATTTTTTTAACATTTCCTTTTAAATAGCACTGATATAGGAATCCTGGAAATGGCCATATTTGACTCCTTTTTTAAAAATGCTAAATTCTGTGAGTTCACACTGGCCTTGTGCCTGAGGTTGCCAGAAATCACAGGTAGCTCTGAATAGAAGTATGCATGGCATCGTACATTGCTGGTAGAGGTGCTCTGCCTGTGCTGTGTTCAGCCAGGTATGTAATAGCACAGAATGTTTCTACGTAGAGGTAACGCCGTTGTGGGTTTTACGCTTTACGCCCCTGCCGAAACTATAAATCAAAGTATGTCAGGATGAACTCTTCATCTATGTGCAAACATAACAGGTGGCCATGCTAGGCCCAGGAGATAAACATAAATGTTATGAGGTTGTTTTTCAATTGTTTTAAATAAATAATTTAAAATCCTGTTTGCACAGTGCTAGCCGTAGATATTTGGAAATAAAAATAGGGAATATATACTGACTGTTTTACTCCATGTAGTTAAGCAAATCAAGTCCTTTTTTTCTTAAACGTCAAAAAAGGAAAATGAAGATTAAGTGGATATACAACTAAATATATAGTAGAGTGGCATGTTATTAAAGTACCTATTTTTAAAAATTGCCCTCCCCTCCCCCCCCCAAAAAAAAACCCAAAACCAAACACCAAACCAAAAACTACAGGTAATTGATCTGGTTGAGATTATACTCATAGTTTGCAGAGCTAGCAGAAGGATGGGGGGGCGATGCGGAGCATGAGGGAACTGCCAGCCCCCTCGTGGTTTTTGTTCCGGTGGAGTGGGAGCGCTGAACCACTCCTGGGGGAGTTCCTCTGCACTTGGTGCATTTACCCACACTTAAATTTTGACCAAGCAGCTTTGAATCAGGGAGCCTGGTACGTGGTTTTGCACATTGGTTTTGTGCAGATAGGTTTTTTTATTTTGCACATATCCAGAAAAGTAGGAGGTACAGTTCCCCAGTCTCTTGTCTCAGTAGTAAGATTCTCCTGGCCTTGCTTGCAGAAGGAATGAGCAGCAGTAATGCTGCAATCCAGACTTTTCCAAGGGAATTTAAGGAGAAGTTGGATGGCCTTAACTTCAAAGTTTATTAATTGCTGTGTGATTAAAGTAGAAGCCGAATCGGTGCCTTGTGTTGTAAATCGATTGTGCCACCTAGTGAAAGGTTTGATGCCAATTGCAAAACAACCGTTCCTTCTTCCCTTCGGTGGCATTACATAATTTTGAAGGAGATGCTGTTATGCTTTTGCACCTTATGTACAAACATCTAAAATACAGACTTTAATTGTGGTAGAAAAAAATCACATTTTTTGTCTTTTGATAAAGTACCTCTATGACACTTCAAAGAGTTTAGTTTTTTTAACGCCATTTCATGTAACAGTCTCTTCAGTGTAACGAGATGGGTGTGTTTGGAATAGAAATGGTTTCAAATACGTTTATCTGCTTCATACCGTGGTTGCTTTGTCTGGATGGTTGTACTCAGAATGACTGTAATAGTCCTGCAATTCAAAGTGCAAGTTATTTATACGCAATTTTTCCATAACAGTGACAAAGAATTTAAGTGAGAGAAGAGGAGCGAAATCCTCAGAAATGTCTCCAGTACCCATGAGATCAATTGGCCAAACCACTAAAGCCCATCAGCATCAACAAAACAGGATGAGTCAAGTTCTTCAGGTTCCAACTGTGAATTTATACCCCAGTAGGAAAAAGGGACTGGCAAAGGATCATGTCACATTCAGTGAGTATCTTCGGTTCACCTGTCTGGAGAGTTTTATAGATTAAGTAAAGAAGAGGGAGGAGCTGTTTGTAGCTGGGTGGATTATTTGAGATACCATTGTGCTTCATTTACTTCATTCACTTTGAAATAGCTGAAGCATATTACTGTGTTTTAAGAGAGCCGTTAACTTATTCATTTGCACAATCTTTAATAACTTTTCTTAAAACAGCTAATGGTAAGGTGCTATCTCCAAATATACTCTTGCTTTGTCACTTTCCTTTTTTTTTTTTTTTTTTCCCCCCCCCCTTCCTTGAACTAAAGAACATGTTCTAACTAAAGTGGTCTTAATATCTCTCTCGAACAGGTCAGATGTACTGTTAAGTCTTTTACTGTGTATTTCTGCATTCTAAAGGGATCTTGCACAAATGGAGTAGAACAACATTGCTTGTTTCTTTTCATGGCAAAATGAAGTATAATGTATTTAGGTGAAATCATTGAAACAAATCACAGACATTTAATACTTTAAGCTCTGTTGTAATGTTACAACAACATTATTGTCAAATGGAGCAACATATGTTATTAGTTGCTCCTAGTGAGCATCAGGTTTTTTTCTGTCTCTAAATTTGCTAGTTGCAAAACAGTGTTATGTATTAAAATGTTGTATCATTTGAAAGCTGCAATTGTGGGTTATTTAAATAAAGTTAGTTGCAGTCAGTAAATGATATGAAATGATTCTATGATATATCAAACGTCAATATCCATTAAAATAGCTTCAGAAAATAGTATTTTGCAGCATATGAAATAGTGTTTCCAGTTAGTATTTATTTCAAGTCTCCTCTTAAAAGCCTGTGCAACTTGATATGTTCTAGAAACTTTGCTGAGAGGGGTTTCTTCATTCCTATGTGTTAAGTGTTCAGTGTTGATCTGACAAGCTATTGAGAACTTACATTTTAACTCCTCAGCACTGTGTCCTCTGCAAGGTGATCTAATAGAGAACAAGATATACCAAATCATCAGTTTGTGAAGTACCGTGGTACACTGGTTTTGCTAAACTTGCGAAGTTGTGTATAGTGCCCGTGAGTGCTGATTTGAGAACTCCTGGTTGTGAAGATCTTGAACTGACTTGATGGCTGTGACGCAAATTGTTTTTAACACTGTCCCAACGGTGTCATGGGCAAGGGTTTCCTCCAAGCTTTTATAGAGCTTTTAGTCCTTAGTCAAAACCACGGCTAGTGTATCTGTTGCAGTGGTTCCGTTATGACCGGGGTGTTTCAACACATTTCAGATGAGCAGCCAGCAGTAGCAGTGGCCACTGCTGATCTGATCTAAATTTGAAATGGAGACTGCCTCCACATGCAGAATTCATCTGAGCATCTGCTCCTCTCTTCGCTGAATACTCCAGTGATTGTTCAACATTTGTAGTTTAAACAGGTATCACTAACTCGAAAGAAGAACAATATGCAGTAAATGATTCTGTTGTTTTCGTAGGTACAGGCTCCCCACAGAAATCATTAAGCTTGTCTGAGGAAGTAAATAGTAAGAAACAAACAGATGACACTATGTCCATGGCATCTTCTTTGCACTCCAGCCCACCTGCTTCTCCTCAGGGCTCTCCACGCAAAGGTACGTGTGCTGCGTGATTGTTCACAGTGCGCATGTCAGCATCCGTCTCGGGAACTCCTGCCTGTGTTGTACTAAAACCAGGGTGGGCAGTGGCAGGAATGTTTGTTGGTAATGACGTGTAAGAGAAATAGTAGTTCAGAATATTCATGTCAAGAATAGAATCATGTCTCTCTATGAATAGACATCGTTTTCCAATGTATTTATATAAAGTCACCTACTGTTTAAAAATAGGAACAATTTAAGTGCTTCTGACAGAATTCTTAATAGACCTTGGGAAAAGTGCTGATGCCCCCCAGTGTATCAGTTCAGATTTAGGTGGCCAGTTATATGAATGGGATTTGCAAACCTGGGGATTTCTTGAAGACAACAGTGTTCCACAGAAACTGCAGCTGTTGAGACATCTTATGTTTTTGCCTGAGGTGGCTGGAATATCAGGTGATTAGATGGAGCTGGAGATAAAATGGTGTCATAGTTCTCCAGAACAGATGGGTTTGATAGCTGCAAAAGTAGTGCATCCATCTAAATCCTCGAGTGGCTATTCACATTTTTTGTTTTTGTGCACAGGGCTTTGTATACATCCCTGTCTATCATGATGCCCCGAGAATCCCTTTATTTTTGATGTCTTCATCTTAAAAGACCCGCATCACTTCATCATTAGTCACCCTTGGATGGGAATTCATTTGAAATCTCTTAACACCGCTTTGTAGTCAGCCGGTGTGGTCACTGTTGAACGGTGTAAGGCATTTCTCCCTCCCTTCTGCGCTGCTTTTGACTCACTGACAGCCCAAAGCTACTGGATTAGCATGGCATGGCATGGTGACTTACTGCATCTTCTCACCCTTTTCAGTGGGAGATCATGCTAGTTCGTCCACTTCTGCCTTCACAAGATACTGTTTCCTTTAGGAGAATGCCACTTATTTTGCTTAAACACAGTATAAGAAGCTTAATTACTTGGGTTGTCAAACCTAGCTCCACTGGGATTTTTGAGCATCGCTTATAAACATGTTATTTTTGTTAACTTTCATCTGGTTCTTTGAAAATAATATTTTGTTTCTTCATTAATTCAACTTGCTTTCAGCATATTTTTAGCACTGATCTAATTTGATTGAGGTGATCCATACCCTGTTTTATATGTAGTGCTAATAGCTCATTGAACTAAAATTAGGTGCTTCACAGACAGCTGAAAGACATAATTTTAGGCATGAACACATTCCACTTAATCTTAGATTTCATTTTCTTTTGAGCTATACCCAAGTGATATGTAAATAGGATTGAAGAAAAAATGTTTTAAAATCAGGATGTTATTTTTGCTGTTATTTATCTCGTCACTTATCGAGATCTGCCTGTGTGTACTTTGTTGTAGTTGGTAACATCCAAAGGTCGGATAACTGCAGTCAGATGAATCTCTCTGGCTCTTCCTCATCACTCGCCAGTGAAACCAGCAACAAGAACAGTGGACAGCGCAGCTACGGAATAGGTGGGGCTTATTTACAAAAGAAAATTCGGATGATTTTGAAAGCAAGAGACAGTTCTGACATAAGTGAAAAGGGAGAAAGAGAGGATGAGAGCGAAAAGGCAGAAGCTGAGCGTGAGCGCAGGAAAATGAAGGGACCT